TGTGTCTAAAAGTAGCAGCAGCAGAAACCCAGACTGTTACAGCAGCTCACTGGCTAAGTTGTATCATGCAGAAGGCTTTACCATATTAGCAGGAAAAGCGGTGCAAGTTAAGTTAGACACTGTCATTGGACAACATGCGGTAATTTATAAATGTTTTATATCAGGTTGGGTCCAGATTAACCCTAGTCCACTAATCCGTGACCTCTGCACTAAACCTTAACTATCAAGTGTCCTTTCCAGTGAAGTCTCACTCACAGCAATGGAAGGTGCCTTGACATTCTTTCTTAGTTATGCATCACAATGATGTCTCGACCCCTCAGGAGGTCCCGCCCCCACTTTGCAAACACTTGTTCTCCAACATCAGGAAAAACAAAACAAAAAACACTAAAAAGTCTTTTGGAATTGGAAAAAATATATTTATATTTTTAAACAGTTTTAATATTTGACCCACACATGTGAAAACTGGAAGCATCTCCACTTTAAAGATGTCCATTTCTAAAGGATGATGAAAGGAGAGACACTGAGCTGTAGCGTTCAGCCTCGTCTACGTTAGGACATGTCCGTGTCTCGACCCTATACCACACTTTGGCAAACCGATCCACTTCTTCTCTGCTGTTGATGAAAGATAGATGCGACCAAAGCTGACAAAAAGCCTGAAGCTGTTATGATTTAGCTACTTCTCCTGCTAATGAATCACAGTGTGGCCCACACAGTCATTATATTAAGATGCATTAACAAAAAGGTAACAATTATCCGCTAAAAGGAGCATCAGCGTTTTCTTCTAAAACACGCTACAGCTTTATTGCTGTTGGTCTGAACGTCAGAGGAGCCGACAGAGAACGGCGTCCAGGTAACCTTAGCCTCCTCAGACCCCCTTCAGCTTCTGGAAAAGGGACGAGTGATCAGAGAAAGGTAGCAGGGCCAACAATGGAAACCTAAAACCAATCCCTTTCTCCTCTTAGGACTCCTTCTGTACTGAGATCCCCCCCCCACCACCACCATACTGCACTCTCTGCTTCTTTGATGACTGACTGACAGCTCGTCTCTCTAACCTTCCCTTAACATCTCTCTCACTTACATCCATGCATTCTTTTGTCTCACATGGGACCTATGGAGTGAATTTTGTTTCATTATTTTTGCAAGTAAAGAACATATGTTATAAATATATTAGAAGGACAATATAAAAAACAAAAATAAATGGTTTGTAAATTGTTGTTTAAAATAATGACCAAGGTCATTTTCAGTTCTTTCAGCAGATACAAAAAAATATTCAGAATCTTGACTTAGGGCGTTATTAAAGCAGGGGTGGAAATGCATCATTTACTCAATTAGTGATTTTATCTATTTTACAAGCAGTAAACAGCATCATGAGGAGGTGAGTTAGGCAAAAATAGACTTTCAGGGGGAAAAAATGCCTTGGGCCATTATTTTAAGAAGGTGATGAAATCAGAATAAAACAAACACACATTTTTGTAAATGGAAATTAAAAAAAAACATGTGTCGTAAATAAGAATTTGAACAACAACACATTTAATAAAAGGAAATACGTGTTGTAAATAGAAATTTGAATGTATATTTTTTCATACATTTTTTTTTCCCCAATTTCAATTTTTAGAAAATATCTCCTTTCAGATTTAGCTTTACTAATTAAATTCTTTTTTATATTGCATATTACAGATTCTTTATACTTTGGGGGCAAGCTTTCCTCTGGAGTGAGGAGGAAAGATGCTTTTCTATTGGTGTGCACGGATGCTAGCAACTGCATGTTTACAGGTCGAGCGAGTGAAAAGAGTGTAATCTGTGAAACTCAATTTGTAAAAGAAAAATTTAAAGACTAAAAATATGAAAATGCAATTTGTAAAAACAAATCTAAACAAACCTAAAAATAAAAAAAATACATATGAAAAAAAAGAAATTTGTAAAATTAAAAATTTAGAAAACTAAAAATGTATTTATCAGCAAAAGATGTTCTTTGTTTACAACAAAAAGGAACACAATTCACTCCATAGAGACCAAGTGCATTTAGCTCTCTCTCTCTTCTTGGAATATTCACTTGCTTCTTTGCATCTAAGCCCTAAATTACAGAAGAAAGAAAGCAGAATAAAAGAAACTGTTGCTTTGTGAATCCCAGAAGTGTGCTATTTGTGTTCATGCTAACACTTTGCTATTTTCAGAGTATCATACTGCGCTCTAACCAAATCTGTAACCACTAGCAACTGGGTTCTTTTTTCTGTTCAAGCTAAGACTTTAAGAAGGTGCATTTTCTGCATGTGTCTGTTTTTCACCATCATTGAACAAAATAAAACCGGTCTTAATGCCGTGACAGTTTGCAAAGAGGTAGGGGATGACCAAGGAAATCAAATTATTAGTTTTAAAATGAAATCTGATGTCCTTTTCCTTTATATATGGAGTAGCTAGAGCACTAACTGATCATTATCATTTCTTGTTTGGCAAAGCAAACACAATTCCTTAAAAAATCCCACTGTAAATAAAATTGCAACCAAGCCGCTGTGTCTCCAACTAAAGGGTTTCTTGCTAGCACTACTGGCAGTTGGATAGTGGCCGTAAAAGAAAGAAGAGGTTCTAAGCCATGCAGTTGAAGGCAGAGCTACAGAGGTGGCAAAGGGGGCACTAGATCCATCCCCCCTAGAAATCTGAACCACCACCAAAAAAATAAAATCCGATATTAAATAATAAATATTACTTACATTAAAGTAAAACTGACTAAAACAAAATGTGTTTTGAAAAAAAAAATGTATTTATTACTTTTTTGTATGCAGTTTTCAAAAAAGAAAATATAATATATTGGTATTAAACTTTTAATCAACAGTTCACAGTTGCAATAAATAAGAAGATAAATTAAAGCATTTTTTCTTTATTATGCCTCACTGTTTTCAAACTATTCCATCACTTATTTATAAACACATTTACATGCTTACATAAGCAATGATATGCTATTTCTTGTCACATTATCTCTCAAATAGAAGATAAAAAATATAAA